CTACCATTTCTGGATTCCAAGTCGGCATCGGCAGCTACCAGGGTGAATTCATACGAATCACAAGGGTTTAGGGTTTAGAGTTTAGGGTTTAGGGTTTAGGGTTTAGGGTTTAGGGTTTAGGGTTTAGGGTTCTTTCAGGGGATCCTTTAATTTAGGGTTTAGGGTTGAGGGTTTAGGGTTTAGGGTTTATGGTTCTTTCAGGGGATCCTTTAATTTAAGGTTTAGGGTTTAGGGTTTAGGGTTTAGGGTTTAGGGTTTAGGGTTCTTTCAGGGGATCCTTTTAAATTAAATTACGCTGTAGGGTTTAGGGTTTAGATTTTAAGGTTCTTTCAGGGGATCCTTTAATTTACCGTTTAGGGTTGAGAGTTTAGGGTTGAGGGTTTAGGGTTTAGGGTTTAGGGTTCTTTCAGGGGATCATTTAAATTACGGTTCAGGGTTTAGGGTTTAGGGTTCTTTCAGGGGATCCTTTGATTTAGGGTTTAGGTTTTAGGGTTTAGAGTTTAGGGTTTAGGGTCCTTTCAGGGGGTACTTTCAAGTGACCTTTAAAGGGATCCTCAGGGGTTCAGGGTTTATATAGCGTTTAAGGCTTTAGTTTTTTTTAAAAAAAAACAAATTGGGTTTAGGGTTTATATTGGGTTTCGGGTTTAGGGTCTAGGGTTTAAGATTCTAGAAAGCTGTCCTTTCCAGGATCCTTCTGGGCTTAGGATATGGGTAGTTCTCCAAATTAGGGTGCCTTTTTGGGTCCCCAATATAGTACGGCACCCTTATAAACACCCTAAACGCTAAACCCTAAACCCTAAACCCTAAAAAGGACCCTAAGTCAGAGAACTACCCCTCTGGGGGCTAGCATTTAGGGTTTAGGACTTTGGGCTTGAGGAGTTCTAGTCCTCAGGGCTTAGGATGTAGGGCTTTCTTAGGGTTTAGGGTTAGGGTTTAGGGTTTAGGGTTTAGGGTTTAGGGTTAGGGTTTAGGGTTTAGGGTTTAGGGTTTAGGGTTTAGGGTTTAGGGTTTAGGCTTACGATCTTCAGCCCAAACCCCCGACCCAAAGCCCCTGCTGCAAATCTCCAAACGCTTCCTGTAGGGGCCTCAAAATGCAGAATAGTGTTCCGGGGGTACAAAATAATCGAAATTCATGAAGGCACGCCAAGGAATAACGACTGCACTTATTCAGGACACGGTTGGAACCCAAACCAAACCCTTCATGCAACTCCCAAACACGTACAGCCTAAAATAGGCGCCTAAATAGTTACCTATACGATTTTGGGGGCTCCTTATTATAACTATACTATAACATACACTATAATATACCCCGAAACCCTACTTTAATTATTACATGTCGCCTTCGTCGCCTGAAGCTCGAACCCTTAGCCCCTACGTAAACACGACGGGCCAGGCCAGCTTCTCATTAAGACACCTCGGTTCAGGGTTTAGGGTTTAGGGTTTAGGGATTAGGGTTTAGGGTTTAGGGTTTAGGGATTAGGGTTTAGGGTTTAGGGTTTAGGGATTAGAGCTTAGGGTTCAGGGTTTAGGGTTTAGGGATTAGGGTTTAGGGTTTAGGGATTAGGGGTTAGGGTTTAGGGAGACCCCTAACAAGGGGACCCTCCTTATGGCTCTCTTACAGGCGACCTTATTGAGAGGGTCTATATCCTTAATCCCAACTCCTAGCTTCAAGCGATTGTAGGAGTGAAGGCATGATATTTAGAATGGGTCCATGCTGTGGCAGTAAAGCTCGTCAACAAGAGCCCAAACCCTAAACCTTGAACCCTAAACCCCGAACTCTAAACCCTAAACCCTAAACCCAGAAGCCCTAAGCCTGGGATACCCGGTAAACCTTGAGAAGCCCAACTTACGCTAAACCCTCACATCCGAATGCTCCAAAGCCCTGCGCCCGAAAATCTAATGACATGTTTGTTGTTACAGTCTTGTCTAAAGCTTTTCGATAGAGCCTGCTGTCAAACCACAACATGCCTACATGAACCAGAAGCCCTAAACCCTAAGCCCTAAAGTCTGTAAAGCTCGCGACATGCACCCAAACCCTAAACCCCTCAACCCTAAACCACAAAAAAACCCTTAGACCCTAAATCCTTGAGCCGAAACCCTGAATCTCTAAACCCTAAACCCCTAAACCCTACACCAGGACATCGTCGAGGCTGCATTGCATTTGGCCGAGGCTTCTTTCTCTTCGTAGGAAGCGTTGCTGGTTCAACCCTGAGGGTCCATGTACCCAAATAGTGTATATACCCTAGCCCGTAAACCCTAAACCCCAAACCCGTAAACCCTAAACCCTAAACCCCTAAACGCTAAACCCTACACCCTAAACCCAGTATATACAGCCGTGTCTACTGTTTGGGTCCATGGACCCTTAGGGTAATGTTCCACATAACCTAGGGTTTAGGGAATAGGCGGAATCCTAAACCCTAAGCCCTAAACCCTAAGGCTCAATGCGATTGACGTCCGCTTATAATGCCATTGATGTAGGGATCGGAATAGTTAGCAATAACATCCCATGTAAAATCCCCTAAACCCTAAACCCTAAACCCTAAACCCTAAACCCTAAACCCTAAACCCTAAACCCTAAACCCTAAACCCCTAAACCCGACACCCTGAAGCGAAAGTTTCGGGAGGGAACCCGGGTCCCGATGAGCCCTAAAAAGCCTGAAAGGTTTAGGGTTTAGGGTTTAGGGTTTAGGGTTTAGGGTTTAGGGTTTAGGGTTTGTGGAGCTTGCTGGCTGGAATTGGGTTCTACGGAGGTGAACTTGCCGTTCGCCGGGTCTTGCTTAGTGGCGAAGACTGCCAGAAAATCCGCCTCGAAGCCGGAAATCAGCGCCGCCAGTGATGCAGTGAATTTATGTCGTGCAGGTGGACGTACACTGCCAACCTCGCAGACCAGATCGATAAACCAACCAAAACTGGTTCTCCTTACGTGTTTGGATGCGACAGGGGCGGAGCGTCGACGAGATTTGGTTCCGCTGTCCAAGGAATCAGCCAGCTTCGTTGCAGATGAGAAGTGCGAGGTGGAGGTCAAGTCGGCGCAGCAGATTGCAGGGGAAATGCTGTGGGTGAGTAAACCCTAAACCCCAAAACCCTAAACCCCAAAATCCCAAACCCTAAACCCTAAAACCCTAAACCCTAAACCCTAAACCGAGTCAGAGGACGAGGCCCGATCTTGCCTTTGTGTGCTCGCTGATGGGCTCCCTTGCGACTCGTGCTCCAAGAAGGGTCGACAGCGCACCACGGGATCGCCAGTTGCTCTGTGCGGGGCAGCTCCCCACCCTTTCTGGCAACCCTAAACCCTAAACCTAACCCCTCAACCCTAAACCCTAAACCCTAAACCCTATATAAACCCTATACCCTGGACCCTAAACCCGAAACGCTTCTTTAGCCCCGGATTCAAATCGATCGCATACCCAGAGGCTCCACATATAGTACCATGATGGAATTAGGTCCCTAAAACCTGAATAAGAGTGGTCTTTTGGGACCTTCCATAATGGTACTATATGTGGAGCTTCTCGGATACAGGCTGCTTGGGGGCTTCGGTCAGATCGAGGGTTCCGCGTTGCCACTTGCGGTGTCGTCAGATGAGTTCTGTTTGAAGGTTTAGGGTTTCGGGTTCCGGGGTTTAGGGTTAAGGGTT